TTAGTGACAGGTAAAATTCAGAGTGTGATCAGATGATCCAAACTATTAATTCTATTTCAAAACCTGATAAGAGCAATGTTGGGAAATACTGAAGAGAAAAGTAGAAAGTGGAATGAAGAATGAGCAAAGCAGAGTGCAGGGAGTAAATGGATAAAAAAAAAGAACCAGATATGCACTCTGAAGGGGGAAACTCAGGTCAGACATTAGAAAGAGGGAGAGCAGCATATGAAAATTGTGAGGAGAATATATGAGTTTCCAGTACCAAACCTGGTCTGAAATACAGTGCTATTTTTTCCCACTTTTCTTTTCTTCCTATTGGTGAGAATGTCATTAAAAAATGAAATACTAGGTCATCCAGAGCTACCTTGCGTTTACCACAAATAAACATAAACCTATATGTTCCCACAGCCATATACATAATTTGACAACATATACAATGCTGCTATTTCCAATGACAGTAGATACTCCGCAGGATGTGAGAATGGGGATTAGAGCAGACTTGGTTATGGAGTGATCACCAAAACCTCCTAAAATGTCCAGTGGACATATTGAATCTTTATACAGCTTCGATTTGGGGGACGGGGTACAGAGGAGCTTGAGGCTCAATTGAAAATATGAAATTAAGGTAGAGGATTCAGTGTTGGACTCCTATAGGCCAGATTTCTCCAGTTCTATGAGTTATTTGTTGGAGATGAGGTTCAAAAAACACATTGCAATTCAGAAGGTCTTTGATTCTGCATTTCCAATGCATTCTAAGGTGATTAGAATGTTCATGGTCATTAAACCACATTAAGAGAACTAAGGTAATGGATTTCTATTTCAAGAATGCTCAGTGAAGAGCAATGTGATGATAGCTGAGGACAAAAACCAGATGAATGGAAGGCAAATATTTTGATTTCATTTCAGAACATGCTTCTTGACAAGGTGTAAGAATAAAGAATAAGAACATAGAAATATTATTTGATACTGTTCTGAATTGGGAAAGAACGAATTAGAAAGGATTCATAAACAGAATCTCAAATACGATGATCAAGAACACAGTGTAAGAAGTTCTTTTTGAAAAGCTGAAGAGTAGGTGCAATGATGGAGGACAGAAGAAAAATATTTAGGTACATAAGGAGATAAGGATGAGCAAGGACAAAATGCATTTAATCTGAGTTCCTTCCAAAAAAACTATGACTACTATTTGTTCATAGATGCTTTAATAAAGATGAAAATGGTAGAATGGGGTCAAATGTGAGAAAGTCATTTCACTCTGACACACATTCAGGACAGGAGCCTGCATTTGGCAGGGAAGTTAATGGTTCACATGGGATAACAATGATTGTAGAAGCATTGGATTTTTTCAAAAGACAGCACTCATCTCGTTCCCAATTCTGGGAACGGGGAAATAGTTCCATGGAATCCAGGGCTTTCAGCAAGCTACAAAGGTGCTCTACTCCTCAGTGACACAGGACATCATTCAGAGCTCAGTCTGTGAGAGTAATTTCATGGAAATTCTTGAGAAATGACCAAGATATAGGAAAGCAGATTCATTGGGAAAAGAAGTCTTTATAGAATTTATATTTTGAGTGTCCAAAGACTTATTTTTCATGGGCCTTCCCACAAGTTTTAAGTATGGAAAGTTATGGGTAGGAAATACTTCTGCGATAACACAGTCGACTCTTTCCCTTTGCTTTACTGTACTTTGAGCCTTTAATCTTACCATCCATTGTTTCACAGAACTGAGCCCTCTGTCTTCTCCTGTGATTGCATCAAGCAAGCCCAAGTTGTCTAAAGCAGAAGATGCAAGAAAGGAGGGCACACCAGTGTCCCCCGTGGGTATGGAAATCAAGAATGTTTTGAATGAGCCCTTCTGCCGAAAGTGTGTATGTCAGGCAATCTGTGGAGGCAAAGTTCTTGGATCAGAAATGGATGACCCCTTTCACTGGACTCTACACAATTGGTGCTCACTGACTTCTAGCACAACTGGAAGAACAGCTCAGGTGTTGGGAGTGCAGCGCACTGAAGAACTTCCATATGTGTCAAGGAAGATATCTGCCACCACATCCTTCCTCAATATGCCTCTTTCTTGTGGCATCCATTCGCTTTCCTCTTTGATTTATGGCTATTGCAAAAGTCTCAGGCTTGGAAACTTCACTGCTTGTGTTGATTCAACCTATGTTTCTGCCCCGGTTTAAGGTGGTACCAAGCAGCCTTGTGGTTTTGAGAACCCAAAACCAGGAAATATGCACACAAACCCTCAAGGGCCAAAGGCTACCAAAGTTATTCCCAAAGTGAAGCATGAGTGTCCAGCTCCTTCTTAATATGAGACCAAGCTATGGCTGGTTTTGTCACATGCATGGCTAATTGACTCTATGTCCCTTTCCTTTTCATTATCTCAGATGGCTCCTTCCTTGAAGGTAATTGCACCTTGCGCTTCTCTTCCTATGACCTACACATTGCAGTAAATACACAGCATTTATTTGATATCATTTTCCCAAACCCATCCAGGCTTCCACTGGATTGAGACATTCTCGTGAAACTACAGACATAGAGATGAAGGGTGCCAGGAGGAAGGATGTCAAGACTATTACATCAGGTACATTTTGCACTAGGAGTTCTTGGAAAGCGTCTATGGACACACCTGAAATGGTGGCATTATGTGAAAACCTCTGAAAGGCTCCCATTCCTCATTCTTTGGTATCCCCCATTGGAAGGGGAGATTGGATACAGAAAAGGCCAATGTCAATGTGGGCATTCACATTGGTACAAAATTGCCTTTATCAACGTGAGAAAAATACCATTCAAGGCAACCATTAACTCAGTGGTGGGTAAAACCCAAGATCCACCACTGGATTTAGGGATTTATATTCATGAATGAGGAAGCTTAGGCTAACGTGCTGCAGAGTTTCCAGATGTGCAGTGGACAGCTAGGCTGTAGTGTCAGGTTCCTGAGAGACTGAGGTCCATATTGGACTTGGACACAAAAATAGATGGTGAGCCAGTGAGACATGTGAAGAAGCAACGTAAAAACAATCAGATTGCGTGCTACCATGGCACCCAGATTGCTCTTTGATGGCTCACACCCATATTGTGCTCTATGCACTGATTTACTCAGTCAGTGACCTCCTCTTTCAGTGTGCTTTATTCTGCACTCACTTACTATGCTACATGACTATACTTTTCCCCTCTCCTCTTTCCTATAGAAAAATTATTGTATTATTAAAACATAGGCAGTCTCTCAGGCTGCCCATCCAAAGTACCTCCTTCAGGACACTGATGCCATCGATCCTATTCCTATTCATGCCTGTAATAGTCATTTTCAAGGGAGGGAATTGAACCCAGGACCTTGACATGCGAAGCAGTTTCTCTACCACTGAGCCTGAATGCCAGCTCAGGACATTGCACGCCAAACATGAAGAACACCTTCCTCAGTGTAGGCAGCTGAGCAGCACAGAAACCAGATGGTGAACACAAAAACCTGAATCCTGTCCTCTAGTTCATATCCCATCTGATTTCATATGTTCTATAGACTTGTGATCTCCTGTTCTAGGGACACAGATTTTTAGTTGAATTCACTTAAAAAGCTCATTGTTCCCTCGAACTGACGACTTGGTGTCCTCTACGTGTCTGCATCCCTCCCCCCAGTCCAGGTGTTCATGGATATACTATTGAGCGGTTGCCTTCTACACATTCGCCACCAATTTTGCACAGGCCCCTCACATTCCATGTACACAGGGGATGTGTCATGTTGTTCTCGCTACATTGCACATATGAGGCATGAACCTCAGTGTACCCATGATGCCTTTATGAACTGATGTTTTATGCATGTGATGGTCCCAGTGATGTCAAGTCAACTAGAAACCTTTCAGAGTGTAAATTGGGCCTCTCTCAGTGTATGCATCCCTGTCCCCTCTCCTTTTGGTCACTTGACAGGACTCCAACTGTATTTGTTTTGAGCCATGCAGATGCCATTGAATCATGGTCT